TTTATTACCTTGTCAAAGTCCCCAGAAGTTTGGGACAGGTCTTCAACATTACTCGTTTCATCTTCAGCAACTGTAGCACAGGAATCGATACTAGGGTTCAACTGTTTTGATTCTTCTTCAGTAGTAGATACATTTGTATGCTCCTAAAAAAATTTTTTTGCGATTAAATGAAAATGTTTGATATATAAATTTTATAAACTTTTTGATAAGAATAGTTGATTGAAAACATCACACATTGTTACAAAAAAAAAGGCAATCAGATCATTTTCAATTGTTGTGTTGTTTAATTTATAAATTACCGTTTTTAAGTAAATTACAAAAAAATATGTGTGTTGAAAATTAACAAAACCATAGGTGAATTTTGCTAACAATTATTTAAACATGAAAAAAATATAGAAGATGTATTGGCTAAGATAATTTTAAAGATTCAATTATTATGTACTTACTGTATATTCAGCACTAAAATTAAGAAATTCTTCGTTATATTTTTTATTCAAAACGATCACTTTTTGTAGCACGTGGTATGATAACCTACAAATTGAAGAGACGCACTGGGTAGCTCAACAAAATTGTATTTAAAGTGTTTTTTTTACGAAAAGCTAACTTTAATACACATAATAGTTTTTAAAAGTGTTTCATCATTAAAATCAATTATTTCATCATCCGATCCACACAAAAAACACTTTTTTGCCATTTTTTCCAACAATAAATAGTAGCACGTTTTTTCAATTGTATTTATAGCGACACTCTACTCCAAAATCATGCATAGTATATACGAGTCTATCGCTATCCTTTTCTTTTCCAAGCCCAAATAGCATGCGCATTCTCTTTCTTTAAGTGGGCGGACTTTAAACAGCTGCTATGCTGTGTCCTCTTCTATCGCATGGGATGGTCGGTTGGAACCTCTCAGTCACACACATTCACTCGGAGCAATATTTTACTTTTTAAAATTCGACAACCGCAATTCTGGACTGATTTTTCGCAGGCAACCCTATACCACCGTGTTCAGAATAAAATAATCTTTAATTTCATTTAAATTTCATTCAATAAACAGACCGTTGCAAAATGCTAGTACAGATTTACCTGTTTATACCTGGCAACCCTATAGTTGTGACCGGAAAAGAATAGGCAACCTAACGTTTACATATTCTATGGGCTTCATACTTTCGATTGGTATAGAATTTATCTAATAATCATACCGGTGAAATGTTTAAAAAATATTTCTTTTTAATTATTGATTAAACATACTCTGGACTGAAATTTACTAGGCAACCCATATGGATTATATTTATTGACATATTAAATTAAATATAAAATACGTTTCATTAAATAAGCATCTCGGTGAAGGTCGTTTTATATCGGGATCTTATACTATCAATTATATACTTTAAACCTGTTAACCAAGCCATGCGCACTTTTGATCGTACAATACCATCCTTCCGTTCGCCAAGTAGTGCGCTAATTTGATCAGAATTATGTAAACGTGTGTACCTATGAAAAAACTATTTTTTCGTTTTAAACAAACCAAAGACACTATGCAATAGATAATAGTATCAAAGACAAAGATATGCTCTTTTATTTTAAACCGTAACCTGGCAATGTTTCTTAGAAAAAAAAAAAAGAAATCACTCTGAACTTTCGGCGTTCCACGTGTCGTTTTGATGAAGGTGCTCCGTCTTTTTTATAGAATTTTATATTTGTGTCTGGACTAAAAACGAAAGTATTATACTTTTTTATATTCCTTGTAATATAGTAAACACGTAGATATATAATTTGTGGTATAAAAAGTGAAAAGTAAATTGCCAAAAGTACTTCAAAATCCGGAAGCTCCATTTTGGCGGTTGGGTCATAAATGTGTTGTTTTCCAAATTCTCATTTATTTTTAGTGTAAAATGTAAGTAAAAATAGTTTTCTTACATATTTCGAATAACTTGACGTTTTATTTATTTCAAATTCACACAAAAATATGTTTGAAATATTGTTCGAAATGTCATACAGATAAAATATTATTATTATTATTTTTTAATATTTTAATATTTTGGTATGAGTAACGAATGGAAACACATAAAACATAAAAATATACATATTTCCAAACATTTTCATATAAATTTCTCTAAAAACAAAAGTGTAGAATTCAAATTAGTAGTAATTTTGTCACTAAAATTGAAGTATATACTACTACTATGCTATACAGGGTAATTTACGTATTTTATTACAATTTCTAGCAACATAGTTTAGTTTAGATAGTTTATACATTCAACAAAAATTCCTGTAAGTTTTATCCATAAATATTGTCTCAAAGTGAAAATATAGCAAAATTTGCAATAAAACCGCAAAAAATTTGCTAATTTGCAAATTTTCCCGCCATTACGGTCCCGAGCGAACGGGAGTATAACATGTCGCGCGCTCGCTTGGCGAACAGGTTCAGCCGACCTCGACCCTGGGTCGTGACGCTCAATTTTGTTTCATGCGCCTAAAAATAAAAATTAATTGATATACTATGTTTTATTTTTTATTATAAAAATAAATAAGTTATTCTAACATATAAAAGAGGAAGTAAATGTATTACTATTTTAGTTTGTATACTTTTTTAGTTCTTTTTATATAAGACCTACAAAAAAAAAGCTGTAAATGGCCGGCGTACAGGATTATATGTTCTTTTTTATTAAATAGATTACGCTTCAAGAATGGTTCCATATAAATCTGAATTAAAAATTACACACCTAAGGGTGGTAAAATGGATGACTATTGCCCAAATAGCTGCTCGATTTTATGATGTCACTAAGGGTCGCGCTGTCTCTATCGCTTTAATTCAAAGTGACAGTAACACCACCAAGACTTAACCGCATCTTAAAATTGTGTAGCGTTTTAGTATTTGGCCATGAATTTTTAATTTAACTATTTAAACGATATTTACTTTGTGATATTCCATAATCTACTCGAAATTGTAAAAAATAAATAAAAAAATAGTTGGAAATAAAATTTTAAGATCTATAGCACTAGATGGCGCTAGCGGAATATTAAAACGTGCTATTATGTGACCGGTCCGACAACCACTAGGTCTGTGGAATACGTTTTATCTGCACCATCAGGTGGGCTGTGTAGCTCATATTATACTTTTTGTCTAAACCTAGCACACCATAGTGTTGCTTGGTTTTGATTATCTATGTAAAGTTATAGATGTTGTAATATGCACGATTCTATTGATTATATTTATGTAAATAATGCAAAAAAAAGTAGAATTTCGTTTGTCTCGTCACCAGAGATGGGCTGAGTGATGATTTGTCTGTATCAATGACTGCATGACAATGACGAAAAAATATCGGTGACAGGAACAATGACAAAATCATCAATGATTTTTATCTGAGTATTAGATCTCGTCACTTCAATTGTGACTATAGTCCGGCCGCTGAGTTATTACCGATTTGACACATGACGAATTGACAATACTAGTGAAGTGACTGAACCAGTAACCCTAATATCATTTGGGAACAGTTTGTTTTTAAATATTCTAGTATAGTGTGTAATTAAATAAAATCAAAACAATAATAGTTAAAGACACAGGTTCTTTATTAGGTGGAGTATCCTTGATGGGCGTAGATAATTGGTCGAGGACATATCAAAATAAAACATATTTGTAAACACTGTTACACATTTTAATGAATAGAGTAGGTACAAGATGTTTTAATAAATGACTACCTATCATTTATTAAAACAATTATTCAGACTTTGAACCAGATTCGCCAGAGCTGTCATCGCTATCAGTCACTTGTATGACAATTTCATTCTCTATAATGGTGTCCACTCTTATATCGCGTTCATAATCTTCTGTTATTAGTTTTCGAGTCTTTTCGACGACCTTGACCCAATCTTCTTTCGTTATTTTGCTGCAAGCATCTTTTAATAGACCCATCATTTTATTAGTACTGAATGGCGGAGTCGTATTATTACGAGCTGCGTAACCTGTAATGTAAACATTAAATAACGTTAATTTATTACATTAAATAAACGAAATGTTACACAATTACCTACATGTAAGGGACATGAGATATTTATTTCTTAGTTATGTATCTTTTTACTTATATGCTGAATATTGGATGTTATAATAGTACAAATTATTCATATTCATAACTTATGCGATAAAAAACAATACCTTTGATTTGTGCCCATATTAGCTCAATGGCATTGTACTGGCAGTGATAAGGCGGAATTCGAAGTACCCGATGTCCATGTGCTAGAGCTATTCATCTACTTCATAACGGACTCTTGATGTTTTATTTTCGCGTACCAACTTTACTAAGTCAGACTTTAGCATTTCGACAGTAGTTTCAATTCCATTTTGGTGTAGCCATGTTACGAGATCAGCTTTCTTGTCGGCCTGAGTAGGCGCTTTATTCACTTGTTTCGAGTGATATGAAGCGTTGTCCATTATTATGATAGAAGGCTCTGGCAGGCTGGGTAATAATTGATTTTCGAACCAATTCGTAAAAGTGTCTGTATCCATCTCCTCGTGGTAATCGGAAGTACTTTTTGATGCGAAAGCCAGCAGTCCATTTTCAAAGAAACCACTTCCAGCAGAACCGGCGTGACAAATTATCAGTCGCGATCCTTTTCCAATTGGAACCTTTGAGGTTGATGCTTTTGTTTCGTCAGTCCAAGAGCGTGACACAGTGTGGTTCGCATTTAACCATGTTTCGTCAACAAAAACGACGTTGTCCCAAGACTCGATTTTTCTGGCTTCTCTTAAAAACTCGCTCCTTTTAATTATTAAATCAAATCTTTCCATTAACCCTCTATAACTCAAAATCTTTAAATTACATATTTTTCATGGAATCGGATAGGATTATGAAATTAATAAGATACGTATTTTTTAAAATTATGTAATTTTTTATAAATCAAGCATAATACTACAAAAAAAGGGAGTGTAGCTCCTAGGCAACAATGAGTTACAACAGTAAAAATTAGTTAATATCACTTTAATTGAGAAGAATGTAAATCAGTTACAACAGATGGAAATTCCTGAAACAATTTTTGTTTTTGGTATAACATAAAGCTACGCCGCATTTATCACACACCGTATGAGTAAATCCAGCACACTTTGGGAACTTACAACGGATTTTTTTTTCTGCCCATTGAGGCCAGTGACCGACTTGATCTTGGCGGACTGCTTGTGGAGGTACATGTTGGGCAGGTCCTTTGTGTTTCTTTGCTAGGATTTGACCTTCAATAGATCGGCGTATTGTTAAACCCGTTTTCACCCCCATCTTGCACAATGTTTCGGCAATTTCCAGGCGAAAATCTGCAGATGCCATGATGGTCTTGTTGGGAATGTTTTTATACTTGCAGACTCTTTTATAGAACAGCCATGCATTAGCCATTGTTAGGTCTAAGAAGTGATAGAAGAGACGCATCTGCCAACGTTTGCTTCTCAGTTTTATCTTGTAGATGCCCATAATGCTATCTACAAGGTCCACACCGCCCATATGACGGTTATACTCGCTCACAACATTAGGTCGCGGGATGTTTATGTATCTTGAGTTCTTTTTGTCGTATCTCCGGACTTCGCTTATAGGATTTAGACCAGCAAATGTGGAAGCCAATGTAACAAGCTTATTGTCCTTCCATACAACCGTTGACACGTCGACGCCGTTGACATCAGCTATGTACTCTTCAGAATATCCTCGATCTTTCTTCATAATCTCTTTTTCTGACGACAGCTTGCAGTCAGGTATTCTATTCCTTCTAATAGTACCTAGCCCAAGAATACCTTCTTTTGCTAAATATTCCAAAAGATGCAAGGATGTGAAGTAGTTATCGAAATAGAGCCTGTAATTTTGGTGTCGCGGAATCATACGCGATAATCTCACTACTACATTGGAAGAAGCTCCTAAATCTGGCTCGTCGGGTCTGACAACATTCTCTTTGCCAGATTCAATCTCTATTGTATAAGCAAAACCGGAAACACCACTCAAAACATATAATTTATAACCCCACTTATGCGGTTTCTTGGGATTATACCTTTTCAGCATGTTACGCGCTTTTTGTAGAGCAAATTTGCTCATCTACACAAAGTTGTTTTTCTAATGGAACTTTACCATAAGATTCGTTCAAGGCATCAACGACTGGGCGAATTTTGAAGATCCTATCGGAGTCAGGGTGGGTCCTATGTAGACATTTAGTGTTATCATTAAAATGCAGATATTGTCTAATCTTTTCAAATTTATTAAAAGGCATGGTCTGTTGAATTACAGGTGTACCCAAGACGGAACTCCAGTGGTTGGTCACTCTGGGTAGCTGAATCAGTGACATCATATATACTACCCCTATAAATTGACGCATTTCTGTCTCCGATACACGAAACGTGCTGTTTGGGTCTTTTTTGTACCACGTAGAGGTTTGTCTCTTCCGAAATTCTCTTTATGAGTTCTGGTGGAAATAAAAAAAGAAAGAACTGTATTGGAGTATCAAGGTCCAAGATATCAGAACTCAATGACTCATTGCCAGTAAAAGCCAGCTGCTGTGCATTCAGCTCTAAATTCTTCTTTTTCCACCGTAATGTTAGCTTTTCAGGCTTTCGACGTTTTACAGGGGGATCTGAAGTACCTGGAATGTCTGAACTAGATAAGGCCGGCCCTACTTCTACCTCAAAGTTGGAGTTACGGTCGTCATCATTCAAGGTGTCTACTAGTGCATCTATGTCGAATTCAGCTTCCAAAGATTCGTCAATCGACTCTTCAAAATCTGGTTCAAAGTCAGGATCCATCAAACTATCGTCATCTAAGTCGAGTCCATCTTCACTTAAATCACATTGAAGTGCGCAGGCGATTTCGTTTTCATTTAGGTGAATTTGGTGAGCCATGCTAAAACAAAATAATAACGAGTGTAAATATCCACAGTGTTCGTACAAGAAAGTTCCCCTTTCCGCACAATGTAGCCTACAAGACACAAACACTAATAGTCACCTAATACATAAAAACTGTAAATTATCAGCAAAAATATAATAATATGGTAAACTATAAACACTTACCTTACAGATTATCAAGAAAAGAAACACCAAAAAACAAAATAACTATTTTCTTATATTTTTTGTCTTTTAACATACTCTGAGCATTTGAAACTTTTCACTTCACTAACGATATTTCGTTGTTTGAGGCAAGTAGCGACATCTAGTTTGACATGCTTGTACTAAATTGAAAGAAGAGAGTGTAGACAATACTCTACATTGCTTGAAAAAACGAATTAATTTTACTTGGAGAATTTAGGAAAGGTGAAACGGTATGTTGCCTGTAGTCTACCATACGTTACAGAGGGTTAATAATTTCCTTTTATTCGTTTTTTTATATTCAAACCCAATTTCGTGCAATAGTTTTGACAACGCCGTTTTACCGCCTTTAAACAAGCCAGCTTCTTTTAAAGAGACCAAAAGCAAACGTCTAGTTGGAAACTCGTTCCTAGTATAATAACCATATATGTGGTTTCTTATTGCATCTGCATCAAAAACATCAACACCTGTCACGGGCTTTTGTCTTCGTTTTTTCTTAGGAGTGCGTTAAACGTTATCTTCACTTCCAGAAGCACCAAATTTTTCTTTATTTATATATATATAGTGTTTTTGCACCAATTCCAAGAGCTTGTGAAACCCGATCTTTCACTTGAGTGACAGGAATCAAAGGGCCGCCATTTTGTGACTCACGCTCAAAGTAATCCTGTAGCTTTAGTACAAGCTCACGACATTGACTATTCAATGTTTTTCCTCGTTTCGGCATTTTCAACAAAATTACAAAACACAAACAAAATTAGTCCAATAAAGCGCAACGATAAACAGGACAAAGCAGAGTCAAAAAACAACGGTTACACAAGAGAACGTAGTCTGTGCGCACGAGAGTACGGAAGACGACTAAACAGATTAAAATAGCGGTGGTAAGGGTGTTGCCAGAATAGTATCGCCAATTACTTAAAAAAATACACCTATAACATTGCATAATGGATGGATTGGATCACACATAAATCTTAAAAATCATAGAGATACTGGCAACACAGTGCAATTAGGAGACGCAAAAAAATGGTAGCATTATAGTCTAGTTGCTCGAAGGAATAAGTAAAATAAAAATATCCAAATAAAATAAATATCATATCTATTCCAATGAATTCGGACCGAATACTATCAAGCACATCACTATGAAAACTAGACGCACGATGTAACTTTGTACAAGCGCGCCAAAGAACAAAAAATAAATGTTTTCATATTATTTACAAACTATTTTAAGTTTTGAAATAGAGTTTATTGGAAAATTACTTGATTCTGACATTTTGACATAAAGTTTTATATTAAAGAGGTATTCTAAATCATTCGGCAAATGTGTCGCTCGTGCAGGGTTATATCGATTAATTTAAGAATAATCTGTCAAATCGGTAATAACTCAGCGGCCTTACTATGGATACTGAAATGATCGCGGAACGGCTTAGTGAAATTATCATTAGTTATTTATGGTCGCGTAAATACGCACCTCCCCAACAAACAAGTAATATTCCAATCTTACCTTCATGCTTTTTCCAGGCTTAGGACTGGCAAGGACTGGCAAAGTAATAGTACTTAGTAGGTACTTACTTGATAAAAAAAACTATCATTCTGCTTTTCTTTGGCGCATTTAAAAGATTGGTATATTTACAATGATCAATTATCAATAATATTTGTTATTTAATTTTTTTTTTTTTGTATTTTTGTTGTTTTTTTTTCTGTAGAAATATTTACATTTTCTTGCCCGTTGTACCAAATTATTGGCTACAATTGACGTTTAAAAACATTTGTTGTTTAACTTTTGCAATTCCTAGACAAGTACATCTTTCAGTTACCAAGGTACCAGCTCTTGAAAATACCCTTTCACAAGGCACTGATGCTGCTATCACACAGCATTTATTCAGAACTAATTTTGCCAAATTTGGGTATATATGTTCATGATTTTTCCACCATTGAAGTGGAGTGTCATGTTCTGATCCCATTAGAAGGATGTCGTCGTCCAGGTACCTTTGAACCTCCGCAATCGCGCTTGACAACGGGGTTCCTTTAGGCTCTATTTTGGAAAATGCTGTCCTATATATATTCCATAAGGATGGTTCAGTATCTCTTGTGTTTTGTGTCGTAGCTAGTGCTGGAGTTGTTGTTTGTTTTGCTTTTGCAATGGTCTCAGCCACCAATCCTATAACATTTTTTTTGTTTCTTCAGCCTGACGGTGCGGGAACATGAAAATTTTAAATCGGGAATCTAAAAAGGTCGATAACGCACTAAATTCCAGATTACGAAATCTTTCAGAAGTTTCCTTTTTTAGCCTTTTCAAAACCACTTTGACAACATCGTGCAGGCCATTCTTAATTATGTAAGTGTCCGCTGCGTAATTGGAATCACTTCTCCACCCGTGAAATATTTTTCTCCACTCATGCGCGTAGACTCTTCATCCGAAGGGTTTAAGCACGCACTGCAAATCTTGAATAATTATCCAATCATTTTCTTCAAGATATGTACCTTTGAAGTTGCTGAGTGGAAGTGTTGCAGTTACAGCCTCGCTAAGTTCAGCAAACCGCTGCAGCATGTGAAATTCAGAGTTCCATCGAGTTTCCACAGATTAAGTTTTTTTGCTGTTTTCGCCTCTGATTGTTGTACTTGATATTTTACAAAATTTTCTGTGGCCAAAGCGCTACGTTTGTAAAAAGCTACAATGGTCTTCACTTTGGTGATCGTCTGTTGCAAATTTTCAATGTTTAACCCACTCTTGACAATTAAATTTAAACAATGTGCATAACATGTAAGCGACAGTATCCGAATGTCAGGGCGCGGACCGTGAACTCAAAAAGGTCGTGGGTTCGAATCTACCATTCGACTACTGGCGTGAACTACTCGTAACACAAGCAATTTAAGCTTACCACGAGTGGTTAAGGGGAATATTAGTAATGTTTATAGCATTGTTAATATTCTTTAAAAAAAACATCCAAAATGGCGCCAATTCAGCTCACTCGTGATAGCGGAAACTATATTACTCGCGTTGTCAGACACAACAATGGTTATTTTGCCTGTAATGTTCCAAGTCGATGCACATGTCCTTAATTGACTTGCTAAGTTTATGGCGGTATGATGTCCATGGATTACTTCACACTGCAGGAGAAGCGACTTCAAAATGTAGTTTTGGTCGATATAATGAGCTGTTATGGCCATATGTGACTCATTTGCTTTTGATGTCCAGCAGTCGGTAGCTTCTTCAGTAATTTTTATTTTAGTTTCATTCAAAACTTGCTCGTACATTGATGGCAGTAAAGTGTTTGAAAGTTACTTACGACTAGGTAGTTGCTAAATGGGATTTAAACCATGAACAAATTCAACAAAGCCCTTGTCTTCCACAATGCTGAAAGCCTGAAAATCTAATATGAACAATTTCATTAGCAGTTTATTTAACCCTTCCTGTTCGGACGGTGTAATTGGATGGGGGGTGTGGGGGTTTTTTTCTCTGAGTGAATTGAGCAATTGTAGGTTGACGAACTAAAGCCTGCTGAATAACGCGTGGTTGTGGCAATGGATGACCCTCGGCTGAGTCACCAGCAGAAGAAGCAACAACAGACGAAAGGTTTTGGGATCCTGCTGGATTTGAAGGGCCAGCTTCCTGTTCCAAAGGTTGTTCTGAAATGTGTTGGTGCATCATATTCCTCCGTACATCTTGAATTTCGACCGTAGGGTGTTTTCTTAAAATATGTTTTTTAAATTTGTTGAGGAAGTTTTATAGGATAATTTTACCCTGCACAATTTACATACTGCTGTTTTTTCACCAACAGATTCAATTTCTAAATGTACCCATACATTGGATGTTTTTCTTACAGTTGAAGCCATTTTTGAATATTTAGATACAAACTGAGAACATAGCACTAAACCTTTCTTGCCTATAAGATAGAAAAATATAATAAATAAGTCCACCCACTGTAGAACGTTACGATACACAAAGTACAAAGTACACAAAGTACTAAGTAAGTACCTAAATGCTAAATGTGTAAACTTGGTTTTAAAATCGATGATATGTCACTAAACTAAATTCACTATAACGTATCAAAAAGCCAATTATAGCGAGAACACATTACATAACGTATTTCGTACGCGTGGTTGGTCATCTTCGTCTAACGGCGCCTCTACACGTTGGCCAACACAGTGGCGAATGTAGTGGCCAATAGCATTGGCCAACGTGTAGACGGGGTGTTTGGGCTTCATTGGTATGTATTGAAACTATAGCGCGCAAGTTGGCCCGAGATCCGTGTGGTGTCGGTTTATTACCAAAAGATCAAATGTTTGTTGGCAGAGTTTGGTCGCCGCGTCCACACGTTGGCCGCGAGTTTAGTTTGCTATAAGCTCCAAGAGTGATTACACGCATCTGATTAAAATTTTATATTTACGCTTTGTAGGGTGGATGACCCAATTACCAGACTTTTAGTGCCAATTTCAACTTTAAACATTCCTACTACTTTAATTAGCGCGATTTAAATTTTTAAACATTTGTTTTAATCGATAAGCTATTTATAAAAAAAAATGAACATTTATCTACAATCAGATTATTACGAGAACAATTTTAAAATGAAAAAAAAATGAAGCACGTCGTTTATACGTGGTAGAACCATGCAGTTATATTATAAGTATAGTTGTAGCACGAATGAGTCGGTTCGACCGGGGAAGGACCACGCTCTCACAGAATATCAATGTAAAATAGTAGCTTAATGATGCTGTGTTTCGTATAGTGAGTGTAGAGAACCAGAGACACTTTTTAAAGGAAACGAGGCATTTCATCTTAGTCCTCACGGGTGGCAACGCATCTGCATTTTGATTTGTAATCGAGGATAGATGTAGACGCCTATGGGCCACAGCAACCACTTACCATCAGGTGAACTGTGTGCTCGTTTGTCACCCTATCCTATATAAAAAAGCGTCGATTTCTTATAATTTAATCGTGCAAGTTTTCGAATCATCATCATCATTGCAGCTCTTCACAAGTCCACTACTGAACATCCTCCTCCACAGACTGCCGCAAAGCATGGTCCTGAGCCACTTTCCTTGTCATGAGTTTTTCATTTATGTTCTAAGTTATAATTAGTACATATTATTAAGTCAGTGTTAATTATATTTATTGCTATTGTTTTTGTCTTTCTCAAAAAATAATTAAATTTCCAAATTAATTATAAGGTGTTTTTTATATACACCAAATGTCTGATAGAAAAGCAAGTATATGTTTTGCTAAACTTTAAAAACAAAACCCAATTTTAAAACATAGACTAATCGATTATAACTCCTTTAACTTTAAAATAAGTTAAGTTCTAATTAATGGTATTTATTCCAGTTTCTGATGCATGTAAAGAATAAATAAAGCTAATCGTATATCGTATATCTATTTACAGCCCCATTAATATTCATTATTCTTTTATAATTATTTTATAAAAATGTTACCCCCCACACTTGGATTTTCTCCTGTATCGCGGAGGCAACTTACAAACATAAATTGCACAAGGTCACACATCCAGACCCGAAACAATTATTTTTAGGATATACAAATACTTGTTCCGTGCGGGATTCAAACCCGCGACCCCTGGCACAGCCACTCATTGCCAAGCCACTGCGCCACGGAGCCGTCGTCTAAAATAAAATAAATTCGTCCGCACATTGGCCCGAACCGAAATAAACTGAACGACCTTCCAACGTGTGGACGCCGTCACCAACTCTCGGCCAATATATTCGCCACTACATTCGCCACTGTGTTGGCCAACGTGTAGAGGCGACATAACCAAAAAAATGATTCACGCGATACTAAGTGCTAGATAAAATAGCATTCGTAATTTGCCGTGCATTTCGCGCGCAAACGTAAACAACGCAAGTAAAAGCATTGTTTGTTGCCGTTCCGTGCAGTGTGCTGTGCTTCAGCCAGTACCTATCGCTGATCGCGAAGTCTCGCAACGTCGCACGTCACACCGCAGCGCCCGAGGCGGCCCGAGACCGCCCGATCCGAATCACCGAAGCTCGCGTTCATTCAAGAAATGATTTAAAAGCATTGATGATTTTGTCGTTGTCATTTCATAATGACATGATGTTAAAATATCGATGATTTTTACCTGTGACATGATATCGGACTCATCTCCACTCGTCACCCTGAAATCGGGTCAAATAAGATCAAATTAGACATGTGTCAATCATGCATGATTCGTTCTTTTGAGCTGGTACACTTAGAAGTATTGATGGTTCATTCATTTGTTTTTGAATGTACCAGTACAACCAATCACAAACAATTGACGGTACCTTTTAACCCGCGATTTGTTTGAATAATGAATGAGCCGCAAACCGACCGAATCCCGAATGATCTGAATAAACAGGCGTATTGAATTGACAATGCAGACTGCAGAGCATAGAGTAGAGTAATATATACACAGAACACAGAATACCATTACTCCTAGCGGAGAATATATATTATATACGGAAACTGCACAGTATCAGCAGTATTTATTATTTAAGGGTTTTTAATTATAATATTGTTACCTAAATTAAAAATCATTTTACATTTTATTATATTTATTTGTTAAATCTATGAGTTAAAAATATCATTTCGTAGAGTTTACTAAAAATAACACTTCAAAAGATTTCATGATAAATGAGCAGAGCGTGCAGAGCGTGCAGTAGAGTAATATATACACCATTACTCCTAGCGGAGAATATATACGGAAAATGCACAGTATCAGCAGTATTAATTAGTGAACTAACTATATTTCAATTTATCGTTATACTATAACTATAGCCTTAATTAAAAATTAAGGACCAAAATCAAAAGACTTAAATAAAAATATAGTTAAAAATCTATATATTTTCTTATTTGCTTGGGTTGTTGCGCGAGGCCCGTGCAAGAGCGAGACCCCAGGCGAGTGCCCTGTTCGCCACCCCCCAAGGCCGCCGCACTAAATATGCATACAGTGTCAATATGCGCCAGTTGTTATGTTGACCAACACAACGGTCTGACCAAACAATAAGTTCAGTTATCCAGGATGTATTTTAAAATACATGAAGCAATCTGCAGATCCTCCTTTTGCAATAGTTTCATTCCACGAGTTCATTAATGAATACTGTTGGCCAACATTGTTTATACCAAAACGTGACATAACTGCTTCTTCGATCTAGTGGTTGTAGTAGTGCGACTACTGATCATAAGGTCCTGGGTTCGAATCCCGCGTCGGGTCAAAAATCAATTATTAATTATTAAATAGGAAGTTGGCGGTGTCTCACCCCCGTGCCTCGGAAAGTACGTAAATCTCTCTCTGAGATTATGAGAGTACTCATCGGATTATGAGAGTGAGGCAATAGAGAGTGCACCTGTGCTTGCGCACACACTTGGGCACTATAATCCTGTCCTGACGATGGTTAGTCTCCGTTGAGGCAGGCCGCCGTGGCCGAAATTTGGTCTGGAGGACATTATAACATGACAACTGCCTTGGTATAACACACTTGAATGCGTTAATGTTGAACAAAAAAAGACCTTGTTAGAGATCAACACACATCGTGATAACATTAGGGTCATTTGTAGCCCTGTCTATATCTGCAGCAAGGTGTTTATACGCTTGATCACTCTTCATATGGTGAATTAAGCTCTCCTTTTCCCATTAATCTCTTTCTTCTGAGCTACTGGCCGCCATCATTTATATATATATATATATATATATATATATATATATATATATATATATATATATATATATATATATTGTTTTGAACATGCTTAACATTTTATTGATATTAAGTGCAGCGGAGAGGTACTCACATTCTGTTTTGTGACGACTGTAATGACTAGGTTGCTTTGGAATGCTTTGAATATGATCCCGTACTTTACTCTTTAAGGCATCAGGAGCACGATAAGGTTGATTGTCGTGTTTTCCACGTTGATCTTTGGGGACAACAACCCTATTCTTAATTTTCGTTTGCAGGTTCTGAATACGCCGTTGTGTCAGTGAAAATGTATGCAGTAATGTTTTTTGGCAAAATTCTATTTCTGCTAATATTTCAACTTTTGTTCTAATTTCAATGACTCACAACCTTCTTTTCTGTTATCTTTACAAATACGAGCATGAAACAAAAATAAAAATAAATATAACAAGATTAACAAAAAATTGTGATCAAAATCATAACGTCATTTTCAACTTACCGTGAGTTTGAACTGACGCGATTTTCCCAAAAATCATGTTTTAAACACTGTTTACTATCAATGTATCAAAAAGCATTTGCATAGTCAAAGAACATGTTATAGTGAAATATGTTTGACAGTTTATTGTACATTACATACTTTAATTATATTACATCTTTATAACTACAGAAACACAATGTTTGAAAACAAATTTGTAGAAATATTGTCATGGTGAAAGATAAGTTCGAATATCTGTTGAAAACTTTACACAGTTTTTGTGAGTGCGAACGTCACCATCAACAAAACAAGTTGTGTACGAGGGTGGATTGAAAAGTACTCGGCCTAACACAGATCCATTCAATTCTAAAAATCAAATCTACCCACATTATTTAGTTCAGTTCAGACTAGTTCATTGTGTGAAGTTCGAAACGTGTGCGATAATTAGTTGTGATTTTATAAATTTATTAACAAAGTAATCGGACATAATTTCCGCGAATAGAGCAAATCGA